GGAATCTAATAGTAAATGGATGTAGGGGCAGAAGTTAGCATTAAGAGTTGTCAAATATGGGAGATCTAAAAGGCCCGGCCCCCAAAATAAAATATCCACAGTGAATATTAATTACCTACAAGATAATGTCAGTCTAGAGGTTGATCATAGATCTCCTACACAGGAAAAATGGATACTCCTTTAAGTAACTTACTTATTTATTAACCCCTTAACAACCCCCATATACATTCACACCAATAACAATAATAATAATTACTTTACCACACTATCTTACGTTAAAAGCCTTGGTCCACATAAGCAGGATACAAGGTTTACACTGAGAACAAGCTAGGGTAAAGTACTACTAGTGAAGAACTTGAAGCTTGAGTCAGCTTTGGGTAGGGAGGCCACGTGGTTCCACTGGGACTCCCTTAGAATAACTAGGACTATAAACACTAGGAACACCTAATTCATACAAAGTATAATATTCTACACATTAGAACACGCCTATGCCAGACAATGAGGACACAATACAGTATACTTAACTCGGTAGTTACCCACAGAAATAGAGAGACAAGAGGTAGAGGAGGAAGTACTTTTCACCACAACGCCAGCTCAGAGAAGAGAGATCGTCTCCACTCTCCTCCCTCAGTTCACTCGCTGCCAGCAGACTACTCAACTAATCGTACAGCATTCCTATCCCAAGTTTACTCAGGTTTACTTTACAAATGATTAGAAAGTATTAGTAAACATAGTTGGTGCCTATTTTATTATTTAATAATCAACCCCAAACTCAGTCTTTAGATGCTCTTTGAGAAACAAGAATAGTCTTACGTCTGGCAGGGAAGATACAAACAAGTGCACCTCGCCATGCATCTCCGTACTAAAAGGTAGTTTATTTTACTCAATTTTGACCTCTGGTTTCCACTGAGGAACCCAGGGTCGTAACAGGGAGAAAAAAACGAACATCAGGAGTTAGGTTAAACCACCGGGTTAATGAACCATTTTAATGATTACCGTTTGTAATCCCTGGACCATCACCGTGCTGGGATTGCTGACATGTATGGAGGTCACTGAAGACTTAATTTGGATTCGAGGATTAACACAAAGCTGATCACTATACAAGGGTTAACAGAAGGCTGCTCACCATATAAGGATAAACAGAAGGCTGCTCACTATACATTGCGAGGAGCCAATGGTGCTTGTTGGAAAGTTTCCAACACTAATACATCATTATTGTATTAACCCATAGTAATTACTAACACTACTAATATGTAGAATTAATTAATTTAATGTTTCCACTGCGAAGTCATATTTGCCTAATTCTTCCTCGTGAGAGTGACGACGTGAGGAACGACCGGCTAAAACATGAATCTCTCCACATTTAGTTGCATCTAAACAGAGTTTAGTTAATTACATTTCTTTACTAAGGATAATCGTTTATTTAGTTGTTTATTTACATAGCATATTATTGCTTACTGAACTCGTCCATTTAGGTGTATTAATAACTACAGTGGAAATTATTATAGTATATAACGATTTATATAAAATTTCTTAATGCAGTCTTAATAAGCTGACTTGCATTGAGCAAAAATACATTGCACCTTAATACATTTATTTGTGACATAAGCTATTGTCACCAGTCCTTACTTCTCTGATTAATTATAAGTAAAATAAAATACTTTAAGCTCGATAATATTTTGAGCGGGCTGCGCATGCGTATCGCAGCCAGGGAAGGAGACGCCACTCCTATTAGAGACGCCATATTAGCAGCGTGCAAGGGAGAAGCATTTCCCAGCGAGGCGTGTTCTGAACAGCGCCCACCATTACAGCCATTGCGTTTAATTGGCCTGAAGATTAGTCATTGCCTTCAATTGACCAAGGACACATTCTACTCTTGCTCTGAGGCCCGAGAGGAGGCGTCTTCCAAGTATAGGGCTCCGCGAGGTGTACACGTGCCCACCTCACTTCAATTCACAATTCACTGCAATTTCAGTGAATATTGGAATAATTTTCTAGCCTAGTCAAATGTTACTCAAATTTCCCTGATTACAGCGTGTAGGCGAGGACGAAGCAAGCATTCCTTCCTCCACCTACGGTCTTCACCACTGGTGTTTCTTCCTTACTTGGACGATGTGATCACGGCTATGAGTAGTGAAGCGGGTTTAGTGTAGTCGTCTTACAGCTAAACCACAACTTCCATTTCTTAGAAAATTTGACTTTTACCATTATTATTTCTAATATGTACTTTTTATGTAAATAATATTCAAGAGGAGTAACATAATTCAATAATTTACTGCTCAGCGCTCAATAAATTTGCACCTAATATTTCATAGATTTGATCATTTATTATCTTTTGATCTTTTAGAATCTACATATAATTTCGGATTCTATAACCTTTACTAACCAGTCTCCGTGGTGTAGTGGTAAGACACTCGCCTGGCGTTCCGCGAGCGCTATGTCATGGGTTCGTATCCTGGCCGGGGAGGATTTACTGGGCGCAATTCCTTAACTGTAGCCTCTGTTTAACGCAACAGTAAAATGTGTACTTGGATGAAAAAACGATTCTTCGCGGCAGGGGATCGTATTCCAGGGACCATAGGATTAAGGACTTGCCCGAAACGCTACGCGTACTAGTGGCTGTACAAGAATGTAACAACTCTTGTATATATCTCAAAAAAAAAAAAAAAAAAAAAAAAAAACATCGTTAATGAACTGGTGACGAACCACACTAGTTCCTAGATATATATGTATTTCTAGTAATACCCCACAATGTTGATGTTTGAGGATTTTAACTCTCAATTAATTATTATTACAGTCCATTCATGCTCTTCAAATAATTGCTAAATAATCTAACAAACATAGGCACTGGTTCCACAGTGTCAGTCTTATAATCTCTTTATTTGTTTCCCTCTTTTCTCAAAAGTGGATGGTCCTTCGAGTATATTGATTTTCTTATCTAAATATTCTTACATTTGAGTTAGTCCCAGATAACCAACAGTGCTCACACTTTCAGCTAATGGTGAGTATGCGAGAGCAGCCCAGTCATTCTACAACTGGTGGTGAGAGTGGTGAGAGCAGCCCAGTCATTCTGCAGCTGATGGTGAGAGTGTGAGAGCAGCCAAGTCATTCTGCAGGTGGTGGTGAGAGTGTGAGAGCAGCCCAGTCATTCTACAAATGGTAGTGAGAGTGTGAGAGCAGCCCAGTCATTCTGCAGCTGATGGTGAGAGTGTGAGAGCAGCCCAGTCATTCTGCAGCTGATGGTGAGAGTGTGAGAGCAGCCCAGTCATTCTACAGGTGGTGGTGAGAGTGTGAGATCAGCCCAGTCATTCTACAGGTGGTGGTGAGAGTGTGAGAACAGCCCAGTCATTCTACAGGTGGTGGTGAGAGTGTGAGAGCAGCCCAGTCATTCTGCAGCTGATGGTGAGAGTGTGAGAGCAGGCCAGCACTGGGAGCGTGTGAATGTGTTGAGTCCCGTGAAGGGGTTCACATTCTGGTCTCACGTCCCCACTTGACCACAGATCTGGTCCCTCTTCCCTCAGTCAGTCTCGGGTGATGGTATTTATGTGATAAAGAATAACGATTGTATTTTATCACATGTTGGAGAGACTGGTCGTGTTGGAGAGACTGGTCGTGTTGGAGAGACTGGTCATGTTGGAGAGACTGGTCATGTTGGAGAGACTGGTTGTGTTGGAGAGACTGGTCATGTTGGAGAGACTGGTCATGTTGGAGAGACTGGTCATGTTGGAGAGACTGGTCGTGTTGGAGAGACTGGTCATGTTGGAGAGACTGGTCATGTTGGAGAGACTGGTCGTGTTGGAGAGACTGGTCGTGTTGGAGAGACTGGTCGTGTTGGAGAGACTGGTCGTGTTGGAGAGACTGGTCGTGTTGGAGAGACTGGTCGTGTTGGAGAGACTGGTCATGTTGGAGAGACTGGTCATGTTGGAGAGACTGGTCGTGTTGGAGAGACTGGTTGTGTTGGAGAGACTGGTTGTGTTGGAGAGACTGGTCGTGTTGGAGAGACTGGTCGTGTTGGAGAGACTGGTCGTGTTGGAGAGACTGGTCATGTTGGAGAGACTGGTCATGTTGGAGAGACTGGTCGTGTTGGAGAGACTGGTCATGTTGGAGAGACTGGTCATGTTGGAGAGACTGGTCGTGTTGGAGAGACTGGTTGTGTTGGAGAGACTGGTCGTGTTGGAGAGACTGGTCGTGTTGGAGAGACTGGTCGTGTTGGAGAGACTGGTTGGAGAGACTGGTGTTGGAGAGACTGGTTGGAGAGACTGGTGTGTTGGAGAGACTGGTCGTGTTGGAGAGACTGGTTGTGTTGGAGAGACTGGTTGGTTCTGGTTGTGTTGGAGAGACTGGTCGTGTTGGAGAGACTGGTCGTGTTGGAGAGACTGGTTGTGTTGGAGAGACTGGTTGTGTTGGAGAGACTGGTCGTGTTGGAGAGACTGGTCGTGTTGGAGAGACTGGTCGTGTTGGAGAGACTGGTTGTGTTGGAGAGACTGGTCGTGTTGGAGAGACTGGTTGTGTTGGAGAGACTGGTTGTGTTGGAGAGACTGGTCGTGTTGGAGAGACTGGTCGTGTTGGAGAGACTGGTCGTGTTGGAGAGACTGGTTGTGTTGGAGAGACTGGTTGTGTTGGAGAGACTGGTCGTGTTGGAGAGACTGGTAGTGTTGGAGAGACTGGTCGTAGTGTTGGAGAGACTGGTAGTGTTGGAGAGACTGGTCGTGTTGGAGAGACTGGTCGTGGGTTATAGGAATAATACCTTTACGAACCGTTCTTTTTATTTTAAACATATGATAAATATTAATAATAATATAATTCAATATAACTTCTCTAATGTCAAAAAGAGACAATAGAGGAAGTAATTATAGATCCTATAGAGAAAGTAAAGAGCAATAAATATTTTAGTAAAGTAGATCCGATTAACTGTAAAATTATTCTTAATGAGCTAAATTAACTAATCTCATTAATTCAGATAAGGAGAGACCTTGAAGGGTTAGGAGTGGGTGTAATATTCACATGGTCAAGATGCCCACAGGTCCCATAAACCATGACAACTGAGCACTCATCTTAAGCGTGGGCATCCCTGGGCGAGTGCTTGGGGGCATCCCTGGGCGAGTGCTTGGGGGCATCCCTGGGCAAGTGCTTGGGGGCATCCCTGGGCGAGTGCTTGAGGGCATCCCTAGGCGAGTGCTTGGGGGGGCATCTTTGGGCGAGTGCTTGGGGGCATCTCTGGGCGAGTGCTTGGGGGCATCTCTGGGCGAGTGCTTGGGCGAGTGGGGGATCCCTGGGCGAGTGCTTGGGGACATCCCTGGGCGAGTGCTTGCTTGGGGGCATCTCTGGGCGAGTGCTTGGGGGCATCCCTGGGCGAGTGCTTGGGGGCATCCCTGGGCGAGTGCTTGGGGCATCTCTGGGTGAGTGCTTGGGGGCATCTCTGGGTGAGTGCTTGGGGGCATCTCTGGGTGAGTTGGGGGCATCTCTGGGTGAGTGCTTGGGGGCATCTCTGGGTGAGTGCTTGGGGGCATCTCTGGGTGAGTGCTTGGGGGCATCCCTGGGCGAGTGCTTGGGGGCATCCTCTGGGCGAGTGCTTGCTTGGGGGCATCCCTGGGCGAGTGCTTGGGGGCATCTCTGGGCGAGTGCTTGGGGGCATCCCTGGGTGAGTGCTTGGGGGCATCCCTGGGCGAGTGCTTGGGGGCATCCCTAGATGAGTGCTTGGGGGCATCCCTAGGCGAGTGCTTGGGGGCATCCCTGGGCGAGTGCTTGGGGGCATCCCTGGGCGAGTGCTTGGGGGCATCTCTGGGCGAGTGCTTGGGGGCATCCCTGGGCGAGTGCTTGGAGGCATCTCTGGGCGAGTGCTTGGGGGCATCCCTGGGCGAGTGCTTGGGGGCATCCCTGGGCGAGTGCTTGGGGGCATCTCTGGGCGAGTGCTTGGGGGGCATCTCTGGGCGAGTGCTTGGGGGCATCCCTGGGCGAGTGCTTGGGGGCATCTCTGGGCGAGTGCTTGGGGGCATCCCTGGGCGAGTGCTTGGGGGGATCCCTGGGCGAGTGCTTGGGGACATCCCTGGGCGAGTGCTTGGGGGCATCCCTGGGCGAGTGCTTAGGGGCATCCCTGGGCGAGTGCTTGGGGACATCTCTGGGCGAGTGCTTGGGGGCATCCCTGGGCGAGTGCTTGGGGGGATCCCTGGGCAAGTGCTTGGGGGCATCCCTGGGCGAGTGCTTGGGGGCATCTCTGGGCGAGTGCTTGGGGGCATCTCTGGGCGAGTGCTTGGGGGCATCCCTGGGCAAGTGCTTGGGGGCATCCCTGGGCGAGTGCTTGGGGGCATCCCTGGGCGAGTGCTTGGGGGCATCCCCGGGTGAGTGCTTGGGGGCATCCCTGGGTGAGTGCGTGGGGGCATCCCTGGGCGAGTGCTTGGGGGCATCTCTGGGTGAGTGCTTGGGGGCATCTCTGGGTGAGTGCTTGGGGGCATCCCTGGGCGAGTGCTTGGGGGCATCCCTGGGCGAGTGCTTGGGGGCATCCCCGGGTGAGTGCTTGGGGGCATCCCTGGGTGAGTGCGTGGGGGCATCCCTAGGCGAGTGCTTGGGGGCATCCCTGGGTGAGTGCTTGGGAGCATCTCTGGACGAGTGCTTGGGGGCATCCCTGGGCGAGTGCTTGGGGGCATCTCTGGGCGAGTGCTTGGGGGCATCCCTGGGCGAGTGCTTGGGGGCATCTCTGGGCGAGTGCTTGGGGACATCCCTGGGCGAGTGCTTGGGGACATCCTCGGGCGAGTGCTTGGGGGCATCTCTGGGCGAGTGCTTGGGGGCATCTCTGGGCGAGTGCTTGGGGACATCCCCGGGCGAGTTCTTGGGGACATCCCTGGGCGAGTGCTTGGGGACATCCCTGGGCGAGTGCTTGGGGGGATCCCTGGGCGAGTTCTTGGGGACATCCCTGGGCGAGTGCTTGGGGACATCCCTGGGCGAGTGCTTGGGGACATCCCTGGGCGAGTGCTTGGGGGCATCTCTGGGCGAGTGCTTGGGGGCATCTCTGGGCGAGTGCTTGGGGACATCCCCGGGCGAGTGCTTGGGGACATCCCCGGGCGAGTGCTTGGGGACATCCCCGGGCGAGTGCTTGGGGACATCCCTGGGCGAGTGCTTGGGGACATTCCTGGGCGAGTGCTTGGCAACATCCCTGGGCGAGTGCTTGGGGGGATCCCAGGGCGAGTGCTTGAGGACATCCCTCGTCCAATGCATTTCCAAATGATCTGATGTTCCCGTCAGAAAATTGGGAACATCAAATGACCTGATGTTCTCATCACCTGAAATATAAGAAAAACAGTTAAAAACGCAATGAAAAAAATAAAAAATAAACTATACTGTACTCACGAAATGAATGGTATGGTAAACAGCACAGCTCAATTCCAATGCAATGTCACACAAAATAATGAAATCAAAATGAAAGTAAATCGAAATCCATGAAAATTCAATTTTTCAGTGCAAGCAGAAACACTGAAATGGAATCGTAACATATTTAGTGAAGCATGTGTTTCTATTACGTACAACAGTTGGCGCTGTTTTTTTTTTAAACGTTTTTACCTGTCACAGGTGTGGCATCAATGTAGTGGGTATATATAAAACCATGCACGTATTCGAATGGAACGTTGAGTCGAAATTTCAAAGCAATCGGTGAAAAACTTTCGTAGATTAGAGCGTGAGTTGCTCTCATGTCCAACAGATGGCGCTGTTTTTCAAAAAAGCATGTTTTTTTCCGTATCATAGGTGTTGCATGTATAAAGCAGGTATATTAAAACACGCGCCTATTCGAATGCAACGTTGTCAAAATTTCAGAGCAATCGGTAAAGAGGTTTCGAAGATTTCCCTCACAAGAAAAACACAAGAAAGCATGTTTTTTCCTGTCACAGACGTGACATCCATGTAGTATGTATATAAAAACCTGCTTCCGTGTTGCCTCGCTGTGTACACGGAAGTGTCGTGTTGCGTCACTGTGTACACGGAAGTGTCGTGTTGCGTCACTGTGTACACGGAAGTGTCGTGTTGCGTCACTGTGTACACGGAAGTGTCAGTTGCGTCACTGTGTACACGGAAGTGCGTGTTTTGTCACTGTGTACACGGAAGTGTCGTGTTGCGTCACTGTGTACACGGAAGTGTCGTGTTGCGTCACTGTGTAGACGGAAGTGTCATGTTGCGTCACTGTGTACACAGAAGTGTCGTGTTGCGTCACTGTGTACACGGAAGTGTCGTGTTGCGTCACTGTGTATACGGTAGTGTTATGTTGCGTTACTGTGTACACGGTAGTGTTATGTTGCGTCACTGTGTACACGGTAGTGTTATGTTGCGTCACTGTGTACACGGTAGTGTTATGTTGCGTCACTGTGTACACGGTAGTGTTATGTTGCGTCACTGTGTACACGGTAGTGTTATGTTGCGTCACTGTGTACACGTGTTCCACACACAAGACTCTGTAAAATGCGACACAGTAACTGCCATCCATCCCCAACGTCGGTGGAAGTATCCCAGGATCAAGCAGGCTGTCTCCTGTGGTAGACTGCATGTGGTATAAGTAAACTTTTAATCTGGTTCAACCCGCCAGACGATAAGCCTAACAAGCCGTGTTAAAAAGGGGAACAATAAATAGCGCCGAGTCCAATAAGGGAGGCAGGGGGCGCCCGGGCTTGAACCAGGGACCTCTCGATCTGCAGTCGAATGCTCTACCACTGAGCTACACCCCCGTGGTGACAGGTGTTGCACATGTGTGTGTGTGTGTGTGTGTTTTTACTCTGTGAGGCTTGATGGTTAGGTCAGTCAGGTGTAAAACTGCCCAGACCCGGGATCGAACCGGGGACCTTTAGATCTTCAGTCTAACGCTCTCCCAACTGAGCTATCTAGGCGTTACATGTTCGTCAACCTAATTCTGTATTTATTTCTGTATCTTTCTCTTTCATGACTTTTTTTTTTAATGATTTTTGAAGCGCTAAGAGTTTCATACATGTTCATGAAGGAATCGTACACGTTAGAGCAGTCCCTCTGGTGTAGTGGTAATACATTCTACTGGAGTTACGCGAGCGCTTTGTCCTCCGTTCGTATCCTGGCCGAGGAGGATTTATTGGGCGCCAATCCTTAACTGTAGCCTCTGCTTACCCCACAGTAAAATGGGTACCTGGTTGTTAAACGATTTGGCGGGTCGTATTCCAGGGAACATAGGATTAAGGACTTCCCGGAAACGCTATGCGTGCGAGTATGTACCTAGTTGTATTCACCTAGTTGTGCTTGCAGGGGTTGAGCTCTGGCTCTTTCTGTCTGGCTCCCAGCTGTCATTCAATCAACTGATTCTCTTTTCTGTTTTTTTTTCACACAAAGACGCACCCCCAGGAAGCAGCCCATAACAGCTGTCTAACTCCCAGGTACCTATTTACTACTAGGTAAACAGAACATCAGGGCGAAATAAACTCTACCCATTTGTTTCCGTCATCGCCGAGGATAGATCCCTGGTCCCTAGGATTACGAATCTAGGGTAATGTCCACTCAGCTACCAGGCCTTGGGCGTCCCGTAACACCCTAGTGGCTGTACAAGAATGTAAGAACTCCTATATATGTATATATAAATAAATATATAACAAATACAAAAATAGGTGATAATATCCAACAATAAAAATATATACATCTTTAATTCATTAAAGAAACGCTTCAGTGAAGCGTTTATCATCAACGCTAAAACATCATCAGGTTCTTTACTAAGACAATAATTCTTAGGGAACAACTGCCTGAAAACAAACAAAATATCGTTAATAAAACGTTAAATATTAAAAAAAAAATATATACACTTAAATAGACTATTGCAATAAAATAACTAGGTATAAAATATACAAATCTAAAAGCAGAAATTATTTATAACATTAAATAAAAAAAAAAAAACTGAAAACCAAACGTTCCCCAAGCTAGGCTTGTTATAACGGCGGCCATCCTCCAAGCCGCACTCATAAATTTTAATGTAATGTATTAAAAATAGATTTGCTCTCATACATATGTTTATATTATATATTAATGCTCTATGTTTAACTAATCGTAGGTCAGATTAGGTGATTAGATTATGTTAGCGATTATTTGTATTTGTAGTATGTGGTTGAAGCCTTTTCAGCGTTGTGGTTCGACAACAAAGCATTTTTGAGAAATTTTCGAACGTCATCAGTTGCAGCCCGTCCTCATGAACGTCATCAGTTGCAGCCCGTCCTCATGAACGTCATCAGTTGCAGCCCGTCCTCATGAACGTCATCAGTTGCAGCCCGTCCTCATAAACAAGGGCTAAGTGTGAGATGTAGATAACGATCTCCATCTCACACTAAAAACAATATCGATTCAGTAAACTAACAAATTTATATTCGATATACAATTTTTTTAATGTTCTTTCCATGCAGCCGTAAACCTGTTTATAACTAAAAAAAAGCCTTATAACCAACTGGTACTCAGGCTATGGTCCAACCCGTTCTCGCACTTTCGTACAGTCAATATTGACTTATTAAATAAGTGCATATGTGACATACTAATTTATTGTGAATATTTTAGTTTACCTTGAAAAGCTTCATAGAAAACACCGACCTTACTTAACCTTCTTATTATGTTAAGATAAGCATCTTATTGCTTCGTAATTACAATTATTACTTAACCTATACCTATAATAGGTTAAGTAATAATTGTAATTAAGAAGCAATAAGATGTTTATCTTAACATACTAAGAAGGTTAGGTAAGGTCGGTGATTTCTATGAAGCTTTTCAAGGTAAACTAAAATATTCACAATAAATTAGTATGTCACATATGCACTTATTTAATAAGTCAATATTGACTACGAAAGTGCGAGAACGGGTTGTATGGTCACGCCGTCCTGCAGTCGATCCCAAAGACACATTTATAAATTTTAACATGATGTCCATTCGCAATACAATTACCTGAAATATAAATTAATATAATTATATATTAACATATTTTGTATAGTCACATGTTAAATGATTTGGTTCTGTTGGCAATTACTTGTATTTGTAGTACCGGGGTTAAGCTTTTACAAGGTTGTAACTCGAACAGAGGTCGTCAGTGAAGCACTGATCGAGAAATGTTCGAAGATAATCAGTTGTGAGTCGTAGTCCGTCCTCCAAACAAAGACCCAAAAGTGATTTCATGCACCCGCCTAACCCCCTGTTTATGAATGAAAAATGATTTATACAGGACTCACAACTGATTTCGTCCGAACACTTTTGGAACAAGTGCTTCACTGACGAATTTTGTTCGAACCACAATGCTGTAAATGCTGCAATCACGTACTACAAACACAAATAATCGCTCACAGAACCTAAACACCTAACCTAACCTAGCCTAAGCCTATATATGCACAATATACTAATATATTATAATATTAATTTATATTTGAGAATATTCCCGTTCTGAATTAACAGCATATAAAAATTTATGAATGTGTCTGTGGGGTCGACTGCTGGATGTACAACCCGTCCTCGACTGAAGTCCATTACATCCAGTGTTCGACCCTAAAGATGTGTTGTGTTTACTAGTTGTGTTTTTGCGGGGGTTGAGCTTTGCTCTTTCGGCCCGCCTCTCAACTGTCAATCAACTGTTTACTAACTACTTTTTTTTTTTTTTTTTTCCCCACACACCACACACACACACACACACCCCAGGAAGCAGCCCGTGACAGCTGACTAACTCCCAGGTACCAATTTACTGCTAGGTAACAGGGGCACTTAGGGTGAAAGAAACTTTGCCCATTTGTTTCTGCCTCGTGCGGGAATCGAACTCGCGCCACAGAATTACGAATCCTGCGCGCTATCCACCAGGCTACGAGGCCCCCGATGCATGCATGCATCAATTTGAATATGCTGTTCCATTCAAAATCTTTTCAAATATAAATTAATATTGTTATACATTAGCCTATTGAGTATTATTAGGCATTAATTAGGTTAAGTTTGGTGTTTAGGTTCTGTTGGTGTGAGGAATTTTCCCACCAGAAATTTGTTTATTTATTAAATTATTAGATGATTAAGTTTACGTTATTTTATTATTAATTGAAAGTGGACTGTATATTTAAAAGTAGGCTGTATATTCTGATACTGTCCTGCTAGGCGTTTTATTCTTTCACATAAAATTGGGAGGGGGGGGGTGTTTAATACGTAGCCTTTTAACCAGCTTGGTTGACCAGTCCAGCAACGAGGAGGCCTGGTGGACGACCGGG